CTTTTGTACCGTCACAGTATTAGCTACAGCGTTATGTACATTAGTTGTATTTACTAGCCACATAAGTGCTACACCTAGTGCTTCTCGACCTAATCAAAATTTTCCAGTGCAGAATTGCGTGCACTATATTTCCTGTTCTCGAGTCTGACTGGTTTTCTCAAGTACAATTTGTTTGTTCTTATAAATTGCCCTTGGAGATTCATACAGATCACGTGACATCATTAATGAAACACCAAACTATACAGTGCTAAACATAACCATGAGGGCTGGCATCGAGCTCAAAGTTCACACAAAGTCCGGTGTGACATGCTTCTCATTGAACTACTAGGATAAGATCATGAATATTCCCCATTACAAATTGTATGCAGAATTGTTGACAGGACTTTGAGAATTTACTCTCAAAGATAGTTTGTACTGTGGGTTTATTTCACATAATAAACCCCTCGTACCCGGACAGTTATGGATATAAAGTCTAGCCTATGGTAAAATGTCTCAACCTGCAGTCTTGACATTTTCTTTGTGATCGGTGGAATTATACTGTTGTTCGTGAAAATCTACTTCGATTCCCCCAATACTCGTTTCTTATGATGGGTGAAGCAAGAACAAATAAACATAGCCATATTTATAAAAACATTGTGTAAACGTGTTCTATAAAGAAGAATGATAGTTGTAGTGCTAATAATTAACCTTTGCACTTCAGGTCAGCTTTTCTGTCACGCTAGAATATTTCAATTTCGATTTTCTTTCATCTTATAAGTATGTTTAGAAACCACCAAATGATATATGGCCATATATAAATATATATATATATTTATTTATATCAGATTGACAGAAGCCCTTCGAACAGCAATAATAAACATAGTGTATCCGCGTGTCACAATTGTTGTGCTTTAAATAATAATCAGTGAACACACACTTTTTTGTGGTATTTCTAATTCATATTGAGGCGAAAAATAGAAATATGGTTGATAGATGTCCCATGAGTGACATCGAAGTCTACTCATTCCAACCGCAAATATAATTCAAGCGGTATTTTCCGATTTGTTTCCTCCTTAGGAATGGACCGAATTCGTCGAATCGGCTGAAGAAGGAATTGTAGTATTTACACTTGGTTCACAGGTTAACATCGGCGAAGACATGGAAAAGGCAACAAAGTTTGTTAGAGCGTTTGCTAGATTGCCACAGAAAGTGATTATGAAATACGTTGGGAATCCACCAAATGAACTTGGCGAGAACACCAAACTTAGCAGTTGGATTCCGCAAAATGATCTCCTAGGTAATACATAGACAATATCTCATGAGTGGCCGTACGATATTACTTGTATCAGTATAGCAGCTTTCTGACCTTCAAAATGATACAGCAATCGTAATTTGTGACAGCGCGCTCAAAACGTACCTCTATACGACATCCAGTTATCTAGATTATACTTGATAACATCCTAAAATATATGTATTTGTTCGTGGAGGCACAAATGCTAAATCTCAAATATGTATTTTGTGTAGCAATATTAGTACAAGGTAGTACGCACGTTTCATATTTATCAAAATTGAGGTCCACTAACACATAGTAACATTATCTAATAACCACCCTCTATATATGTAATCACATTGAACAGCAGTTTGGAGAACATATCAACAAGGAGCCAACAACATAATCCCGTCAATATACTTTCATTTTTGTGAATGACATACATACAACGACTACACAAGCATTGAAAGACACACAATGCTGACCATGAAGTAGACACATTTCTTATAGAAAACGTACACGTGCAAAATATATGGAGCTATTCGAATCACCTGATATCACTCATATAAACCACAATGGTGGCATGGTGATGTAGATTGCTTGCCAGTTAATTGTATTGTTAATTGTTATTTCTTGTCAGTCGTTTATTTTGTGATATTTTGATGTAAGTCATCCACCTGTGCACTGGGATGTAGTTGTGAATCAGAATGGTAGATGGGGAATATATGCAGAATGTGCTTTCTCCTTGTGGTATAACGATGTTTGTAATACTGAGTTTATACTTTGTTTTGTGTTCTTCGACTTTCGTAAATTGCAGTTTAATGTAGCAACAGGGGAAATCATATCGTTTAGTTCAGATGGTTTGCGCAACTCCAATCAAAACATATTTATGACAAACCATATAATATATGAGGCTGAAATAATCAGAAATTTGTTAATTCATGTTTTGCAAAGACTGTTTACATATGGGTAATGTGATTGGAGATTAACTGAACCCTGTCAAAATAACAACATTTCTGCCCGGCGATTTAACCATTTGATTGGGCGTTTTCGAAATAATTTCGCTGTGACAGGTTCTCATAAAGTGTCGTCTTCTAAGTCATCTGAAACAGGATTTAGTTTCCGGCTGTACTCACTAAATCGGACCCGTTTCTCTTCACTCAAAGGTTCAAAATACTTGTTTAAACGACCTCTCGTCTTTCTCATGTTAAAATAATGTTGCTTTGCCTTGACAAAAAAATAAATGTTAGTTGTGCGTACGCTCTTCCAATAATGAATGTGTATATATGGAAACTGTTGACACTGACAATATAATGGGAACTGATAAGATGGGGTTTTATTTACAAAAGAAAACACCCAAGTTGGAGCGACAACCGATTACCGCAATGCCATTGTTCACAATATGTCAATCATTTGAATTATATAAGTGTTTGCATTTTAAATGACAAATGGAAGTCAGCTGGTTGTGCTCAGTTTTCTCTCCGATTTACGTCTATAACATGATATACCGATTAATAAACAAAAAACATGTGACCAGGTTTTCCCTGTTGCTACCTTAAAACAAATAAATTTTAAAATAAATACACATGTGTTATAGTATATACATATTCAGAATATCGACCTTGCTATTTGTTCAAACATATGTAATAATTGTTCTTACTTACCCCATATGTTCAATAGGTCACCCAAATACCAAAGCATTCATAGGCCATGGAGGTATCAATGGTGTAAACGAGGCTATATATCATGCAGTGCCTTTTATTGGCGTGCCGATATACGGAGATCAGTTTGAAAATACTAGAAGACTGGTCGGCCAAGGGATGGCAATTGTTATAGATTTGAAATCTTCTACAGAAGATGATGTCTACAATGCTGTGAAACAAGTAATCGAAGACCCTAGGTAAGGGACTCTTACTGACAGACTGCTAATCAATAATATGTTACAATTAAAATTGTAACTCAATGGGTCATTTTAAAAAAGTACAACTTGAAGATTGCACAGATAATAATTTATAGTACAAATTATTTTTGGTAGGTACAAAGAGAACGCCGCTAAATTATCCAGTATCCAGAGAGATACTCCAATGCCTCCAGGAGATGCAGCTGTATTTTGGATTGAACACATTTTGAAGTTTGGCGGTGATCACATAAAACCAGCATCCCTCCAATTGAATTTCCTGCAGTATTATCTCCTCGATATTGCCTTATTTTTACTAGCCGTAGTGGCCATTGCCATTATTATCTTAAAGCAAGTGATCAGACTAATCTTTAAAATTTGTTGCAAACCAACTAATATCAAATTGAACAGAAAGAAGGAACAGTGATGAAATTTGGGAAGGAGTTATGCAAGTAGTCTGTGTAATACATACATATAATTATGATAAGAAAAACAGACCCAACGGGTTTGAGATATATCTCGCGAGACATTTGGTATGTGTGGTTTTCGTTACGCATATAAAGATATTGTTGGGCGGTTTGAGTGTTAGTCTGAGAGTCGGCTCAAACTAGACGCAGTATTTCGCACAGTAATACATTAAAACGGGAGGGTCGTCACCTGCGCACGCGCGGGAATTGAGTCCTAAGCGATGATAACAACACACGCTAAGAACACAAAGACAGTCACTCATGGTTAGACACTTGTTTGTAAACATTGACACGCTATGGCCACCTGACGCATACGTAGGTGACGACTCCCCTGCTTTAATATTGACAAATCGCGCCGCCTAGTTACGAGGCGTTTTTTTGGAGTAAATTTGTGACGTAAACGCCGGTCAAATGGTTTTTATCTGTATTTTTTCACAAATTAATGTTATTTTGAGGGACGTTACTATACACTTTATTACGAACACAGTTGTAGAATTGAAAGACTTAGCTCTCACACATGTACGTCATTTTGACATTTTGAAAGCATTTACATAATTGCTTATTAGGAGGTTGATTTAAGCGTGACTGCGTTGCACATAATAAAATTATGCACTATATGGAAGGACAGTGCTCCGAGTGTATTGCTATATTCAATATTCGTGGAATTACAATACAAGGAAAAAGAAAGAATAGTTTCTAGATCGGAAGCTAGTGTACTATGTAAGTCCTGTATTGGTTTTGATATGCATCAAGCGGCGGGTATGAGATCTTTCTGGGGGGGGGTAAATTAGCATATTTGGAGTGAGATAAGAACGTTAACCGAGCGTAAGTGAGGTTATTAGCTGTCCCAAATAAGCTAATTAGGGCATATGGTATTCCCCGATAAAAGTGATGTCACTGGGAGCGAAATAGCCACGAGACTATGCATGTCGATTAAGGCATTTTTCGAACATATTGAGATCCCGCTTTGTGCGTAAAAGATACGAATCTGGGGCCAAAAAAATCGAATGATTTTCAGTTTCATGATTGTTTTTATTCTTCATAGTTCAATTTCGAAATACCGATCTATCACATAGAAACATGACGTTGACATACCTATCACGGGGGAAATCTTCTCTCTGGGTTTCTCCACACGTGTCAGGGGGGAGTCTCGTCTCGTCTCTCTATCGCGTCCCCTTGAGGTACGATATCGGGAAAGTCACTTAAGCTTTACAGTCAAATAAGACACACACAACGAAATACGGTTCAACTCTCGTCTTTGTCGACCAGTCGAGCACTCTATAAGACACAGCGCCCTGGGGAAAAATCCCCAAGACTATCGCAAGGCTGATCCAAGACTCGCCCAAGACTGTGTCAAGACTCGCCCCAAGACTCTCCAGGACTAGACTCCTCTGTCGTGGAGTACTCGCCAAGACCAACTAAAACAACTCTTTATTCATTTTCAAAACATTAACCAATTACAAAGCAGTAAAAAGACTCTAGGGCGTAACCTTCAATCATAAAGCCAATCACACTAAGTACTGTACACGTCATGTCTTTTGATTAATTGTTCACTACATTAATAACTACGAATACTAACTGTCAGAAATATTAGTCCGAATAGCGACGGTTATCTGATAATTAGTTCCAAATCACAGAGTCGAGTTCCGTCCAGGACCTCGCCTGCCTAAACGATGACAGACATAACACAGCCATTCGCTAATAATCAGCTAATTAAGTCGATTAACAGATGCGCGAAAACAATTTCATCATATACCCATGAGCCATCGACATTGACTATCATTAAATGTGCATACCACATTATTCGATATACTACATCTCATCGAAAACCATTTATTTTTTTAGTGATAGGAATAAGCGAATTGACTATGGAAAAACGCACCACATTACATCTTCAACATCAAGAAACCACCGATTGTTTTACTCCATGTAATACATGCAAAGCAAAGAAGTTACCGTAAGGAAAAACAACAAACTTTCAACAAAAAAACGTCGGCTCCATATTTAACGTGATGTGATTAAAGCATGAATCAGGTATGATCACAACCTAGAAAAAAGCTGATTATTTTCTTCAATTTATAGCACATGTGTTGGTACTTGGATACGTATGAACGATATATTTAACGCAAGTTTTGACACCATTACTACGTACGCTGCGACATTCACACTGTTTCCGTTCTTTTGTTCGATTTAACACCTTACGCCGGTTCTTGTCAAGTTCCGATTCTGGTTTATTATTTCCAAATCGATTCCCTGTATAGACGACTTTTCCGGAAGTTTCGGCGTTCGCATGCACGCACAAAATGTCGTTTTGGGGTGTGATCTGTTTTTTCAACTGAATTCATTTGTAACATTTACTTATTGACATGATATAAGATAATCACTCTGGCACTAAGTCCCACATTACCAATATATGCGATGAAGAGTGGTATCATCAGGCGACACGTGACTCATTGTTGCCTAGTTTCAATTACACAATCGTACAAAACAAATGCGACGTACTAATATGCTACGACGTACCGTAACATAGGAGGATTTTTTTATTATCAGTGGAACTGATACGATGTGACGTGTTGTAACATGGGACGATACTGGTATTTTGTTAATATCAGTAGTTGCTTCATTGTCTAGGTATGTCGGCCGTATTTTGACCTAATCTATTCGCTGCTCGGATAAGGTTGAGTGGTACCGGTTGGCTGTAGGCTGGTGCAGCTTGGACGTAATTATAACGATAACCTTCTCAACAATGTCTGCAGCAGAGCGAAAGACATTGTTTCGGACATTAGTTTTCACCTCAACCGTCGTCACCTCACCTGGCAGTGATTGTTGATTATGACCATGCAAATCTTTCGTAAATATTTTTCCCTTTTGTAGAACAGTTATCATACATGTTAAGAGTTTGCTTCGTACACTACATCTCCGAGTAATGTTGTACGAGTAAACATTGCAATCGACTATTATTTCTTTCCCCTTTTCAGAAGCGTTCGGCATGAGATCATACGTAACTATGTCAACTTCCCCGACATGAGGCCGCAAGTTCGGGAGTGCATTCACCCCTTGCCATCATTGTATGTCAACCTCCATCCGGGTACTTTCCTCCTCAATTTACCTGATTTACGTTAATAACTTGTCAAGGGAACAAGATACGCGGCAATATTCGCGATCTGATTTTTTTTTCTAGGTTTATGTTCACAATCTGACTATCTTATTGGAGAGAAAAACTACGTGGTTTGAGACATTCGATCTGCGATTGAGTATTTCGTCAATCTAAATCTGAGAGTCGTGGGCTTTGCCGTGTGACGGCATCGTTGTGTTTGATATTGTTTTTGTATTGTGTGTGTTTGACAGTATATTGTCATATTATGTACAGTGTATTTGTTGAAAGAAAATGGTGTTGAGACATAAACCTATACTCAGGCAGCTCATTTCAGTGATCTACATCTAATGCGAACTGAAACGCAATGTAGCGTATAGCTGTGCACATGATGACGCCGGATGTTGTTGCAAGAATCAAATCTTCGTCAGGCTGAAGCTGATTAATGAAACGTGCGCCACCTACGACTGAACTGTGGGTAGCCTTTGTTTTAATACAAATTCTGTAACTGCAAGCATTCAAATGCATAAAACACACCACACAAAAATAGTTAGCATCCATATATTAGTAATAAGTAAATTTATTGCAACAACAGAATGGGTACATTTTTTTAAGTTTTGGCATTTTTTCACTTTTTAAGAAGAATGGGAAACAAAAGTAAATTACTAATATAGAAATATTATCTTCAAATTTATTACATTTTTTTGCATTTTGTTACCAACGTATATAATTTAGTTGTACGTATAGCGTATGCTGGGCCTCAGTAAAACCTTATACCGTGTTGTCAAGTCAATTCCGGTGTCAATTCAACGTCATACGTCAAGGGATACACCCTTGCATTCTGCTTTGACGAATTGATAATATATTTTTTCGTCCTATTAGCCGTTACATGCAAGACACGTAATCATGGTCTTTATGAGGCTTATGTTATACATATTATCCCGAATACTTGAGGGAGAAAATCCGTTGACAGGACACTGAAGGGTTGGATTACGCATTATAACCAACAATCAGCGTTCAGAGGCCGGCGACAGACAATGCACCAGTAGTCAATCTTCGGTTCACTGACTTTCGTGTTCTGTCACCTTATGACCTCGTTCTCTGTTCCTTTTAACTAGCCACGGGCACATCGCATTCACTGGATGTTTAGTCGTTGGTGACGTACACGGAGTGGGTCCCAATGCGTATACGGAACGCTGAATGACAAATGGGGCTTGTATTAAACGCTGTATTCCGCGTGATTGCAGGTAAGTGTACCAGTAATTATCGTCAAGCGGTATTATATATATTATCACAGTTGATACGAATTATCGATTATTTATGTCTGTATATGTCTGCATATGTGTAGCTGGATAACAATAACTACTGATTGAACAACATATCATTTGCTAGGAGTCGTCACATGATGCAGTACCTGAAGTTTCTTCTGAATCGCAGACTTTTTATAATTCATTACGCCATAGTAGTTGTGCGCAAAACATAAATACACTTCTGAAAACTGAGAATACACTCATCCATTGTGATATTCGCATAAAGTGATTGGGGTAAGAGGGCATAGAATATTTATACGTACGCGTTTATACGGCCATATTGGGATTGTAATACAACCTAAATGTGAATTTATTGATATTTGTTTACATAATAATATTAGTTTCAGTAAAACAAATACAGCATTAAATAGGGTCGTCCTAAATCATCCCAGTAAATTGGGATGCTGTTCTCAAATGCTAGTAAGCCAGTTTGTTTGCCGGGTAAACATTTCTACTGTATAGTAGCGGCATCAAAAATGTTTACCAAATAAACAAACTATTTACATGCCTGGTTAATGTCATGACCAAGTAGTACCGTCTCCTACAATGACTAGGTTTAGGACAAACGTTTTTTTTTTCCTTAACAGAAAAGCAGGCATTGCGATACAAACGAAGATTTCACACAAAGCTTTTAAACCGCACCCGACAATTCAGATACCACCCTCTGACCCGTTAGTTAAGCGTAGCAAGCTATTTCAGCCATATCGAGATGTTTCGCGTCATATTCAGTGTTTTTTATTAACTGACCGAGAGACATGTAAACTCAGACATGAATTACTTTGGAATTAATTAGTGAGGTCGGAAACTGACAGGCATTGTCATCGATGATCATTGTATTCATAGAGATAAATAGAAGCTCGGACGGATCGTATATTATACCGTTAGAAAGGCATAATAGTAAGGATCAGAACAGAAAATCGTGTGTTATTGTATGTTTTCTATGTTAAGGGAGTGCCACATAGCTACAACAAGTACTGGCAGGGTGGATTCTGAATTGCTCGAATATTTGCCAACATATCTACAGCTAAACAGTGTATATCCAACGCCGCAGCTTTTCCGTTCCTTTGTAACTCGACAAGAGTGATACTCTATGTTTGAAATTATTATTGGCATTGTTTACGCGATGGACGGTGGAAACAGTTTCAAGGCCGTAAGCGCCGTGCGCATCAATGACAAATGTGATGACCGTTCGACTAAACGTCTAAGCGTCTGTACCCGTGAACTGAAATGTGTACACTTGTAATTACCCTTACTGTGTGTGTTCAGTAGTACAATAGCCATTGTTATACTTAGTATTCAGCGCTCACTAACATGATTGGGTATGTACATAATGGTGGCCCTATGAAGGATATCTGGTTGGGTACGTAGGGGTGGTAAATGCGACGAAAACAGACTCAGGTTAATATTAAACCTGCCTTTCTATGCCTGCTTGCAATAACAATCAAGTTTTATTTATGTAAAATTATATAAATATATAATCATATTCATAACGATATGTATATATGTATCAACAGAGAGAAGGACATGACCACGCTGGACTGACGATTACCAACTAATATGGCGAGACTTATGAGATGGGCAAGACGAAACAAATGTTTCTGCATTCTTCCCCTTGCCTTCGCTGTTGTCATGGTCACAGTTAATTTTGGGATATTCGACTTATCCGATGTCAATGAGCACAACAAATCGCCGATTGCTAAAAGGTGGGGTTTCATAAACCTATTTGCTCTTGGTCACGATTATGACCCCCCTGAATATCGCATATTTTGTATTTTGCACTGTGTTTTAGAACTGAAAATTGTAACGAGTTTACTGTTTAAAGTAAACACTAGTTTACTATAGAGTAACATTTGTTGTTTCGGATATATTCGGTAATTATCGAGGATTTGTACATGTATGTACGATCGATACCAAGCCGAAAGGTAGCATTATATTATTGTCGTATATTAAGTATAAATGTTTTTATAAATGATCGCAATTATTTGTTTCACACACAGTCCTGGTATTAGCGGATTCACGTCATTCAAGTTGGAAAACAAGGAAAAAAAGTCGAACAATTCTCGCTTTCACCATGACGTAATACATCGGGGTGGACGATTTCCTGACAAAGATCAGAAAGTGGTTCTTAATCAGTTACTGCTACTCAGGTATGGCAAAAAGAGTAGTGTATGTGATACCCAAATTTTACCCAAATCATTATTGCTCAGTTGTTATTTGTTATACAACTAGACATTTAGCTCCCTTCTTTCATTGGCATTTTATTGTGAGTATGTCAGACAATAAATGTGCCATTAAAGATTCCCTGGCACGCACTTCCTGATAATAGTTTCATCGGTTTAATGCACGTGCGATCGAGGATATGTTCATATAGTGGAACATAGGAATATCTTTTTATCAACTGGATGAGCCATCATCACTATGCGGTCACACTTCAACAACGTTGTCATAGAAACTATTCTGAATATGACGAGTATATTAAGTTGAAGATTATTTCAATATGATCAAGTTCAAGTTCAGAAATATGCTATTGTCTGTTTTTGTTCATTGCAGAAAAAACATATCCGGCAATATCGTCATTGATGCAGACATACGGGTGTTTAAAAATGACACAACTCCAAAATATATGCACTTTTTCCAAGATTACCAGGACAAATATGTTAAACACGATCCAGAATTTAAACGTCTCGCAAATGCCACGCGCCCTCTACGCCAATCAAAGTCGTGTTCCGTAGTACTCAGCGAGAAAGCCCTGATTCATTCCCGATGTGGTGACCAAATTGAACTTTCACCTTTCGTGATTAGGAGGACTTTAACAGGGCTACAGGATGATAAGACTAATGACATTGGTTTTAAAACCGACCTGGCGTTATTGGACAGCACACTATTACAATCGTTATACGATTTCGTATCTGAAAACCCGAGGAGAGGAGCCCGAAAGTCGTCTAACCTTAAACTTTTTTCCACCGTGCAAAAGTTAAACGGTACGATTTTGTTGTATCCATGGAGACTGGAAAGGACTTCACGCGAGAGAAACAACATTCGCTTTATGACACTTCGGCTTCGAGAACGATACCAAGTTCACCTCCAGATGGCTTACTCGCCCCTGAAACCGTTCTCAGTGCGAGTGAGCGAGTAAGTACAGCCCGTTCATGTTCATATTTTAGTATTATTATGGGGATTTTCCATATATACATCAAACACCGGGAAATTACTATATATTTCTAGCATTTGGTTAATTCTAGGAGGCATATCACACGCTGTTGGACGAAACTGAACTTCTGAGTCCTGAATACACAGACCCGCTCATTCTGATTTCGTCTTGAGCAGTCATTTGTTCCAATAAATAAATAAAAAAAAAACGATCCAGTATGCTCCACTGATATCTTGGTAACGTCACCAGACATGAATTGTGTTCATTCGTTGTTTCTCACCGCTTTTAAAACAACCCATTTCTCGTGTTCCAGATATTGGAAGATTGCCAATTCAACATCGGACCTGACACTGGTGACGTTGGCCGTGCTACTCTGTGATACAATACACGTTTATGGAGCGCCGATACACGAGAAAAAAACGTCAGACGAAGGCGACATTGTTAAGAACATATTGACGGGACCAGGAGCAACTTCGATGAAGGAAGTATTCATGGATCTGCAACATGCTGGCATAATACACGTCCATAATACGTGTCACGCCTGACCCCTTAGATTCATCTATGACCGACTTAGGGGGACTGATATGTTTACTACTTAGCTAGCCCGTATTTAGTGGAACATGCAAAATTTATTGCAGCAGTCGGCTAGAGTGTGAAGCTCTGTTTAGTAGGGTGGTGGGAGGGTGGGTAATTTAAACACAATGTCCAACTTACCGATTCTGCATGATAACTGTTCAAGACGTCTTTTTTCTTGTAAGCGGGTCGGTAAGGAGTATTTTAGTAAGCTGTAATCAATTTTTTTTTATTTTCGTAAAAATGTAATTTAAATAAATAAAAAAACGTAAATTCGTAGACATTTTTGATTCGTAAACACAAATTATCAAAAATACTATAAAAATGTAATGAGGAATTTTGTTTATCTGTAAATGGAACTTTTATTTTATTTCCTGTAAAAACGTAAAATGCCGTTTTTATTTCCTGTAACCTATACCAGCTACCCCTGCCCTCCCTCTTGTAATGTTTGTTCAACTGATTGTCGGTGCGGGCTATTATTTGACAGTGTTTTCAATTGTAGCCTGGAACCATCAGAAATCACTATTCGACTCCCAAATAAAATAAATGTTTCCAGCCGAGCTTATGTTTTGTATATTATGTCAGTTCATTAATAACAACGGAGAGAGATTGGGGCATTACAAATTATAATATCTACTGTAGATTTAGATTACCTCAGTTCCTTGCAATGGAACGCGTAAAAATTGTTGTCGTGGTGAAAATTCAACGTTTGATATTGGGTGTCGATATAACATCATCTCAGTAGTGTATTTAATGTACAGATATCAATAACCAACATTTAGAAAATGCTGATTTTGATTGCCACGTATCGAATGTTTGCAGTATTTATTTTAGCTACGCAACTATTTTAATTATTTCTCGTTATAAATTGTATACGTTTTATGCTACGTTATATCATGTATAATTGTGTGGCTGGTGAGGGGGGGGGGGATTTTATGATGATTTAATTTTCACAGGTAATGCAACTATTTCACCTTTTTTATAGCAATTGTTTAAGTGCGACTAAATATAATAAATATTAGTTGTCGGCCAATAGATGGCACTGTTTAAATACCCGTTTATCCGCAAACTGTATCACGCCCTCTAAAGTTCGGATGGTGTTCTGAATATAAACAAATCGGATCCAAAATTGAGCGTTGCGTGCCGTGTATGTATTTTTCAAATTCAAAAAAAGCAGCGTCAATAATACATATATGGTATTCATCCACTTTGTAAAAAAATATTACCAGTGTGAGACCAGGGTGTCAAAATCCTGGACCTGTCTGAAGCCAATTGTCAAAAAGGTATACAGTGTCTTGTAAATTGTCAACATATCAAAATAAGCCCATACTGATTTATGATTACCTCGATCTACGGCTACATGGTATAACACTAAATGATAAGTACAATTTTGACATGGTTAACAAAGTAGGTTGTATGGACTCGTGGTGTTATGAAAACTCACCGGCAAAAGTTCTGGATATTAAATTGGAGAAATAAAACAATAGTAATTCCATTATATCTATACTTGACAGCCTGACTATTTAATTATACATGGATGAGCGAATCGCTGCTATAGCTCTATAGCCCCTCTCCTTTCATTTTGATCCAGAACAATTCTGTGATACACAGGGATTGTCATCTCACGTTGAAGCCCTCTATAGTTCTCTGGGGCCTTGAGTTGACAAGATCTGGTGATCCAGTCATCGAGTTTACACAAATTCCTGGTAGAGGGCGTTTATGCCACTGTGCTTATTCACAAGTATTTTTCTTTTTGAGCGCGGACTCTGGTCACATAATTTATGCTAGTGTAAAAACCGCCATATTTACACCAGTGTAATTTTCACACGATAAAAATAACACCGTTGTTAAATTTACGTCGGTGCTAAAACGACGTATTTGTTATGTGTTATACGCTAAATATTCCGCCATGGAACTACAGAAACACAGGGAAATAAACTATTCAAATCATTTCATATGCTTACTATCTAGTGCTCACATACGTCTCTTTTAGTGATTTCATTTTGTAGTTGTTGTACGTGTTCATACGTTATTGTGTTCTGCCTATATGTTTGTTGTTTAATCATTTCCTTAGATGCCAGAGAAAAGCCATCATTAAAAAAGTCAAGGTATTTTGAATATATATTATCACCAAATATTATCTACTATATATCAACTGTATAAACTGGTTTTAGGCTTTGTGTTCTAGCCTGTTAGGCGCGGATACTCGATATTCGCCAGAAATCAAGACGAACGGAGATGTTAGAAAATCTGTTTGAGTGAAAAATACAAACGTGCATAACACATAACAACACGTAACTGGAACTTGACACTCGGTGTAGCGCCTCGCTAACGCAGGCGAACGCGTTAACCACTCAGCCATACTAGCTAGAATAGTCAGCTCGAAATTGTCTGCAGTGCACACGAACCCACATTGACTAGATGGAAATACTCAGGCTGAATCACGGACAACACAAATAACCTACATTATTGTAAATATACACATACAAAACCTAGTAGTCATGGTTCTCATGAACCACGTAGCTTATGAAATTAGTGGTTTATGTTTATCTCTCAATTATTATACGTAAACACTACTTTGTTTCCTCCCAGTTTTGGTTCATCTTGTGAGGCATTTAACACCAGTAACATTATCTCGCAGACATTAATAAATAGTTCGGTTGTCACAAACATTTTTTTATCAGTATATGTTCGGGTAAGATAATTATGGAAAAATGACCGTCTCTGAATGCGTAAAGCAAAACGACCTATGAAGAAGAGAAAGAACAAAGCAGGGTAGTACATAATTATGGTAGATGTTCGCTCCAACGTTAAGGTAATATGCGTATATTAGTCGTCCGATAAATCCAAAAAGTAAAAGACTAAATGGCGATGAAGGAAACAACATCTCAGACTAATCTTAGTGAAAATATAATCTTTTGTAATATAGTCATTTGGTCGTTAAACAAGTGATTTGGAGACATGATGGCACCCTAAAACATTGAAAACGCAATGACAGCCGACGCTACATACGGAACTGCTCGGCGACGTTCGGGGAATGGCAAGGCGCATATCTCGCGAATACCATGGTTAAGACTACACACTAGTACCGTATCAAATTTCTGACTGTTACGAACAGTGGAAGAGTGCGAATATGATACGAACGTGTTATGTATGATTGTACGAATATATTTAATTATGACATGATATTGCAAAAATATTCATATCACCATGACGATGTACGTGTGATTCTAATGTCTCCGCCAGGTGCATGCAACCATTCTGTAATTGATAAAAAAATATCGATTACGGAAAATTCCAATTATTTGGAGAATTAATTAGTAATTATAGTCATATTACCGGTTTACACAGTGTCGCTTGTTAAAATGATATTTGAAGTAATTACTAATGCCAAACATGGATCAGACAGGCCTTCCATTACATCGTGACGCGGAGATCACCGAATGACGTCAAATACATGACAATGTGATTTAGCTAATAATGAAGATTAGGGTTACGCTGAAATCAATCAAGGAGAAGATGAGAAAAACAAGAGCTTTTTTATTACAGAACATACTATCAAGATCACTCAGGCTCATGCTGTTCGTACACATGACGCACGTGTGTTTTTAAAGAGCGTGCGGGTGGAATTAAATAGTATAGCTAACGTTATTATCTTATTCGTGGTTTTGTCATTATGGGTTTTCAAGAAAAAGGAAAATGTCATGGAAAATTTTCATTTTTGAAATATTTTTGAAATTAATTTTCATAACTAGAATGATTCCTTATTAGCTAATGAAATTATGGCGAGACAGCGTTATGCGTCTTTGAACTTTTAAAGACATCATGTGTATTATTTGTCTAGGACATATTTTAAGTTTCAGATTGTGCGTAACATTTACGGAAGTAGTACATGTTGCTAAATACAACCGTATATGTATATAATATTTTTATTTATGCCTCGGGAAATCAACAGGTGTAAGGTGATGAAGAATAACGGAGATCAATATTACTATGTTTGCACGGATGGCAATATTGGAACGCCCAATATAAATGTATTTATTATTAAATCAACGTCGATGTGAGAACAAACACACTCACGAAAAATTTTACCAAATTGAACAAATATTCTATATATTAATATAATTATTAATGTCGATTTCACTTTAATTAATTAATTTAACCACATATCGATATTTTCTAAACAAAATACCGTCATCATCCGGATGATTTTTATTTCGACGGAGACACTACAGTAGATAACATTTATTTTTTTGACGAAAAGTAAGGTGAAGTTTGCGGGAGCGTATTAAGTCGACAGCGCATGCGATGCGTTCTTTACCTTCAATTTTCGAGCTGTCACCTGTGAAACACTCAACCAAAAAACTTTTCCGTATATTTTTTTTTGTTTTTTATATTGACGAAATTGACATTGCGAGACATAGGGTATGCCTCTACTACCTTTAATTACGAGTCTGAATCACAAAATACAATTTCTTAACTTTTGTTTTGTCTTTTTTTAAGCTTAAAATGTTATCTAGAATCACCGTACTCGTTGTCTTTGTGGTCACACCCGTGCTATGTGGAATGTCGCTGACGGACGACCCTGCTGTTAAATGCGCTCTGTACCACTTATCGAAGTATGTTAAGTATCAGGTGAATGATATCTCAATTCTCAAGCAACACATCGCTGCTTTGAAAGCATGCGCCGGTACCGAGGACTGCTTATCAGGCACCGGTAAGTAATGATCTTACATCCATTTTGTTGAACTCCTGGCCGCGTGGATAGATCCTCAGGTTGCGTACATCCAACACCATGTCAGGCCAACAATTCAATAACATTTTTTTGTTTAATTTCATTAAATTATTTAATATATATATGTGGTCCCGGCAGTAAACCACTCTCATCTTGAATGCCATCCCATATTAGAACGCTCTATACAATATATAGACGCACACCATTTACATTTAATTATTTCAGATGATATCAACACGTTCGATGGACAGCAATCTGGTTTGCCGGAAATCGCTGCCCCGGACGGCTGCGATTACGATTCAACCGGCGACGGAACGGACGTCGGTAAGCCTAACGTTATATTTACATTCTTTTAAATATGATTTTCGAGATTACACTTCCACGAAATGCTGCTTCGTTCATACTAAGAAAACAGTTAAATATTGTACAATAAATAAGAGTTCAATATTTAAAACCTATAATCATTTTAATAGTTGTTTGCATTTGTTCGTTATTTGCACTGCTCTTTGATGTTGGTTTGTCTTCTCTTCGTTGCTTCTGACCATTGAAGTAATAGAACCGGAGGAGAATGGTAAGTATTTATATATATTTCTTATTTAATATAACATATGTTCAATCAGGGTAACATGATTTAATAATGTCACAATAAGAGTCTTTTGAGAATCATGTCACAATATATGTGTTTATATGTGCCTTAGTTTAGGTTTGATAAATCATGAAGCTGAGAAGTCTAGTATATCTGATTTAAACAAAATACAAATTACTCATTGTGAAGCAAATTTCGAATCGGCCGGTTTATCTATCATGTGAGGTCCGACAAGTCTAAGCCGACCACCAATATGATCCCACCCGGTAGTAGAATACGCTCAAACCTAGTTGCCGGGTAAATCGATTGAAGAGACTCATCGAATACGCGTTACGTCATTGGCAATTAGTTTGAATATTAATATATGTCAGTTGATTGGACGGTTTATTTGATTGTACGTGTTATCTGCCACTGCCGTAAACTAACACACTGATCTATTTCATTAGACGGCGTACTCACACCGTTTTTGACATAAATAGCATCCTTGTTTTGTATGTACTCTTGAACAATTACTTTTTCATATCGTTTTCGTATGTATGAGGTTTACATCTAGTAGTGGTGTTACTCTGTTAGGTTGTGAACGTCATATGTATTTTTGAATAATTCTTAGAACATTTCTGTTAACATAAATTTTGATCTATTTAACTCAAAATCACTTGTTGCCATTTTTTCCCAGCAATCCTAAAGTCGATCATTTTGAATTTCAAGCGATATATTGATTTCCACAGTTATAATTCCAAAAGATAAATTATGTATTCAAGGCTTGGGTTTATTCTGTCTGTCATAAGAATGGCCACCATTATGAAGGTTTTGAGTGTCATTGGTTTGATCAATCAGTCTGTCAGTCATATACATACGAGATGTACAATAATGTCCTTTTGATTGGTTAAAGGGCGGTAGTCGTCGCGCTACGCATGAAGGTATCGAAGGAGTCACCGGCGGCAAAAGTCGCGCCCTAAATATTGTGATTTCTATTAGTAGAGCGCACTGGACTGTGGGGAAATTAATATTTATCAACACAAACAGATTTCGATCATTTCCTTTGACTACAAAGTTTGCACCATTTGTATACTACTTTTCATCTGTTTCAATTTTATTTTAGCTCTATCACTCTATCAATGGCATTGTACTCCTGTTTTTCAAGTTTTTTTCTGTGTAATTTTTCAAACTTTGCGCAACAATAACAATAGGATTGCCAAATCTTTACCTCTTATTACCACTTATTAGTTTTGTGTCATAAGTATATATTTTTTTGCGCTACATTCAGTTTCTCGCATCTTGTGTTCTCTTGAAATTGTAAAAACAAACTGAAATATGTTTGTTTGTTCTTAGCTGTGTCTAAGATGGTAGCAGAAACACAGCTAAGTGAAGCATATGTTGAATGGCGCCACCACTGCGAATTACAGAAACAGTCAGAACACATTCCCTTGAAAATGAAAAAAAGGCAACAAGTGGTTTTGGCTAAACTGTTTTTTTTTTAAGATTATACACTAGAATATGGGTCTCGATTTAGATACACAAGCTTGCAGACTATATATGGCCTGGTATATTTTTAACGATACCATGACATTGACGTGAAATGTACATTTGCTGACAATGAGTGTGTTCTATTTCATAGCTGATTTGTTTAATCAGGGTTGACAATTTGAAAGTATTTTTTTTGGGTGGTCAATATATTTCATCCTCTGAGTTGCTAATGTGCCATAGATTTGGAGGAAGTTTTTCTTCTTCCAAAGTATTGAACTAATATTTTGCATGTGTTTCTTCAGGGGGTGGGGAGCTACCACCAGATGTAACAGAGGCACCAGAAGGTAAGATAAATATGCAGTATATTTACTGTTCTAGTATATGCAGAGGACAATCCAGTTGGCTGCTGAAAACTGCCTATTAATTATGATTATCGTTTGTTTCCCTCTCTGAAGTGATCCCTGCTCCTGAAGGACTGGTTGGTTTATGGCCACTAATGGGCGACGCAATCGATAAATCGGGTAACGGTAACGATATTGATGTACCCGACAACGGCATCTCATACGACGCAACCGAAGACGATGGAAGCGGGGCTTACTATTTTGTGAATGGTTACATGGAGATTCCCAACACAATCAACGCTGAGTACTCCATCAGTATACTGGCTCGTGTGAAGTTCGGCAGATCAAACCGTGGTATGGTGTTCTCCTTCCTGGCGGCGGACGATACCCTAGCAGTACGTATTTATCGCAATCGCTTCAGCAGTCTTCTAATCACACTTAAAGACAGAGATAGTGACATGGAAGTAAACTTGGATAGCAAGCAGAAGTCTATTCAACCCGTGGAATGGCATGACATCGCGTTCACTTACGATTACCAATCTGGAAACGCAAAATTCTACATAGACCAGGTAGAGGCTGTTTCCGAAGACTTTGGTACCATGAATTTAGATACCGGTGTGAAGGCAGTAATTGGCAGTGACCCTGCAGGCAATGCTTACAAAGGGTATTTTAAGTGCCTCCAGATCTACGACCATGCACTCAACTTGTTTGAAATTAAGAGCGCTCAACCAGACGGCGGCTGTCCAAACGCTCCACCATCTTAGTATCTAAAGGTAACACGTATTGTTTTTTTTTTTTGCGAATATATTTTGCCAACTTTTAAAGCGGGGGAAGTCGTCACCTGCGCATGCGTCAGATGGCCACAGCGTTTCATTGTTTACAAACAAGTGTCTACCCATGAGCCTTTGCGTTTTAGCATGTGTTGTTATCGCCACTTGGGCCTCAATTACCGCGCGTGCGCAGGTGACGACCCTCCCGCTTTAAATATATCGCATATGGATGTACATGTAGAATATTTGTGATTATAGATACATATGCAATGGAACTACGCGAGAGGACAACAATTATTGTTATTGAATCACGTGTTGATTAGATATTAAGAACACAACATAACATTTTGCTATTATATATATATATATATATATATATATATATATATATATATATATATATATATATATATATATATATATATGAAGCGTGATAATATATTTTCTCTTTTTTTTTACAGATCGTATACAACTAGTACGTTATGCATGCTTTTGCGGTGTAGGATGATAAGTAGAATTTATTAGAATGAATTAAATAATAAATGATTCAATAGATATGTGACGAATGCGTTATTATTTTTATTTGAGACAGATTTTCTTGAATGCGAGGTTTGGACTTAAACAAAAAACACTTATTCTAAGTTATTCGGGTTCTAAGATATTGTGCACTAAAAGAGGACATGTTATCCTTATAGAGCAGGCGCCTTGTTTAGTTCTTTCATTGATTTCATCTCTAACAATTGCATATCACTGCAAATTAAAACCACGGCCATCGATGCGTTTCATTGTCTAACACCACTTTATTAATATTGTAAATTATTAAACCTTAGTCATGTATGAATTTCTTTGTATAACAATGCCTATCCTATGTTATGAATTCATATCCGCGTCCTTCCGGGTGTTTCTTTGAATATACCTGGTCTAAGTTATAAATTTAAAACCATAGCCATCTATGTGTTGACGTGTATATCAGAGATTGGACCTCCATTGTATATTGCATGTGTGACAGGTGTATGACATACACTAAATTCGCACAGTGGTCATCACCATCAAATAAATATTGATGAGCTAACACTAAATACAAAATAATAGTTCTAAATACTGTATATCAATACCATTCGTGTTGATTGTGAGTTAGACCCTATCATGTGGTGGTTCAATTCTCGCGTCTTGCTTATTTGCGGGTCTGTCCATATTTCACTATATTTCACAGTAGTACGGATATGATTCTGTGGTTGTATTTGTTTGTTGTTGATGTCTGAAAGGAATGTGAAACATTCACAAGAGAACTTAATGTTTTGGAAGCATTTTTCTTATTTCCACTGATGTATTTTGGATAGACACAGTTTATAAGTACAACAGTGCAAGAAATGTTCACATCGATGTAAGTTATTCTGATTTGATCTCAAAATGCAACCACGATTGTAAAGGTAAAGTCATATATTTAAATATATATATATATATATATATATATATATATATATATATATATATATTAATATATATATTAATATTGTAATCATGTTCGGAAATGAATAAACGAATGACCCACATATGACCTGAGACTGAGTTCGATCGGGATTAGGTGTTCAGTATAATTTGGGCAATGAGTAAGCGCTCGGGAGGCTATTTGAGGTTTTATTTACCCGAACGTGAAGCTAGTAGTGGAATGTCTGACATCGATGTCTTATAACGAAAATGTACTAGTATATTTACAGATTGTACACGCTCTATGAGGACCATTATTTTGTACATGTTGGCATATAATAGTATTCAAAATATAAACTGGCCGAGTAATGGAGTGCATATTTCAAAATATATTGGCCTTCTTTTAAGAGAGACGTAGGATCATGTTGACTAAACCACATAGATTATTTATAAATATCCAGATCGCCAATTTACTAAGTTTATACCGGATAATAGATACCCTAGTAGCAACAAATTACCACACAAACATTTATTTTAGGAGTGGGAGTAATTTGATGAGTGGGGGAATACTGTTGTAGTGGGATTAAAAATCGTTGGGGTAAAAGTTTTGAGGGCAACATGCTGTCCCCAATGCTTAATACAATAGAAAAATCATTGCACATAGAGATATGGCACGGATTAAAATACAGTATAACATAATTAACAACTTTATCACTACGCTATAATCATCCACATTATGCATAATGAATATTCATTTGAAAGTCTATACAGATTGGGAAATTGGATTTAATCGTATCACTTCAAATCATGGCAGGTGGGAGTTAGGAGGAACATAAGTGCTGATCCCATGACATTTGTTCGACAAGCAAGCCAAAACCAACCCGTATCCTGATTATTCTAAACCAAGTCTTGATTTAGGCACGACCATAGAGCTTTTATAGTCACCTTACTATGCGAACTAAAGATGAGACAAGTTGTAAAACGCGTTTTTCTAATTCCTACAAATCAGGACGAAAATACCAATCTTTCACAAAAATACGGTCTGTTGGGGTTATATTAAGCCAACCGATAACAACATTCGGCCGGGGTATTTGAAACCGAAATTGTCATCTAAGTGTAAGGCCGTCGCTGATTGGCTGCTGAGCGGGAATGCCAATTTTTAGTTTCAAATACCCCAGGAAAGTTTTCTAGGTTCTTCGTGTAATTAGGTGTGCGTGTGCAGCTGACTGTGTACTTGATACAGGTAAAACAAGACATAGTTGCGATGATACAATCATGTGTCAGGTGTTGCTTGTACATTATAATCGATCTGAACGAGTACTGATGTTTGGCCCGTTGTTGAATTATATAAACCATCTGTGTTTACGTGGTAACCTTGAATCTTCACTTTTCACCTCGTCGTCAGTAGTGAGTTTCAACCACCATATCGATTATCGTGTACACGCGACAGCAGACCTATGTCTTGTTGTCTCTTGTCAAGTAACTCTTTAGATCATACAGCAAGCGGACTACGATATAGTTCATCGGAAGGTATGTGGTTTGAAACGTGGCAATGCCGTCGCTGAAATATTATATGTACTTAGAAGTTGTCCGAAAAGTGAACTCCTTATCTTGACTGTGTTTAATGCAGTCACTTTTTGGTTGTATAAGTAGCGCCCGGTTGCAGTAAAAACAAGACAAGGTTAGAGCAATAGGGATAAGCTAAATACTGGTATGAAACGTACAACTGA